CGCGATATAACCGAGTAATAAAAATTCTGGGCTTTTACTAGACAGATTATACATGTTATGGAATCTCTATTCTTTCATCATTAAGTGTTTCTGATATAAAATAAGCTTAGTTTTTCAATCCTGAATTTTATTCGTGGTTATATCGTATTAATTGACGTTTACGTAAACATCGATACCATGAACGCCCATTTAGCATTATTGTTTCTTTAACAATGACATTGAAAGACAAATACTGTCGATATAAAAACAAATCAATTGCGATTTTATTATACAGTACTATATAAATCGCTTATTAGAAATTCGTGTAGTTTATATTTTTCAATAAAAATTATAAATGCTGTAATTGAAAATTTAAAAAAAATATTGAATGTATAATAGAACATCAAAACTTATAAAATTACAGAGTAAAAATTCTTTAATTAAAAAGCAAAATAAAGTTACTACTGTATAAAAATTTTAGAACTTTCCTTTCAGAATTAAGAAATCTTTTCCTTACATGTTATGCTGTGAATTCAAAATTTCACACCTCTGTGTGAATTGAAACAATGCCTTAAATTTCGAATTCACAGAAACTTGTAAGTGAGGAGACAGTACTTAAAACTAATAAACAACTTTTTTATTAAAAGGAAACAAATGATAATCGATCCATTCACTTGTTCTGCATATGTAGATCTTGACGAATTTATTGTTTTACCTTCAGTGGTAGTTTCAAGGACAATAGTAGAAATAAAATACTGTATTTCGTTGCAAATAGAAATTCAGTGACAATTGGTAATTTAAAAGTTATTGACTCAAATGCTTTTAAAATTCGGGGGACCAAAAATGCGCGATATAACGACTGAATTACAGTATATACACAAATTTTTAAAATGTGTTTAACCATAACAGAATAAAAAGAAAATAACTTTTACTGCTATTTTGCTGAGTTTTACTTCCGTTTTTTCACTTTGTTTTATCACTATTGCACTCACTTTTTATTCACTTTTTCTGTATTTCATCTCACTTTTTCAGAGGGGAAATGGCACTCCCAGGCCTGCAAATATTAATTTCTTTGGGACAAATGGCAAATATTAATTTCTAATCCTGTTTTAGCATAGAAGATATATCATTTTCATGGAAGTAGTAATATCATTTTAGCATGCTGCTCTATGAAGAGAAGCATGCTAAAGTTTACCATATGGAAGCAGTATGTTTCTACTGTGGAATATGATTTTATACCTTTTGTTAAAACTTAGATTTAATATACTGTAGATAATGGGATAAAATAATTTTGGTATTTTTTATTGATTTCTTTGAAAACTTTTTATTTTTAAAACATTTTGCTTGTATATTGTAAGTTTTTTAAAAATAAAACTTGATATTCTGTACTTTTTAATATTGAATCAGTAGAATTTGTTAATTTGGCACCAGAGGATCCAGATTATTTGGCATTTTTGCAAAATTCAACAAATTAGATGTTATGTTAATGTTGTTATAGATTTTGTATCAGTACATGTTATTGTATGCTTCTGATTTGTTTACACATATATAGTGGTGTTAAGATTGATTGAAAAACCTACAACATGTTAATATAGTTGCCTGGGGTTTTATGCATACCATGTGCTCAGACAAATTCCTGTTTGCAAAATACTAGCATGTTGGATTTTCATTAAACAATTCCAGATTATTTGCTACTTTTCAGAAGGTGCCAGATTAATGAACTTCTACTGTAATATGAAATTCCTAAAGTGAGGTGTAATCTCTTTTGAGTTCTTTCAGGTGGAAGTCGACGCTTTTAGAAGAACTAATGATATAACTGTACGAGGAGAAAATATTCCAAAACCTTTAACTACATTTGATGAAGGGAATTTTCCAGGTAAGAATTTCTTAGGTAAAATTTTTAATTGATTCTTCCATTATGGTTGATGTATACTATACATAATTAGTTTTTTTTTTTTTTGTATATATATATTTATCAATGAAGTCATACTAGTAAAATAAGAAAAGAATAAGTGTTACTAGTAGGAAGAAGAAAAATTGTATTATTTAAATTGTTTATATATATACATATATACATACACACACTAGTGATGGGACGATGAATCAGGAATTGGAAAAATTGGGCATTTTCTGGTAATCAGAAGAAACAACACTTGTAACAATTTCTGATTCTTCCACATTTAATAAGAAAATTAATCAAATTAATTGTATAACTATAATTCTAAAAATTAAAAATTCAGACAATAGAGTGCTTTTTGCTCAGACTATCAGCGCTGCCTTTGAGGGATTTACAATATAGACAGTTAAGTTTTAAAAAATGTTTATTAAACTTTTATACTTGTACTTTTTCTCCTTTATCCTTTAATTTAATTTTTGTATTATAAATAAGAAAATTAATTATTTGTTTCAGTTGAAGATGAAAAATTTTTTAATTATGATACTAACAATTAAATATTAGTTTATTGGAAACTTTCAAAGCACAAGTTGACAAAGCTGCACTTACACAATGCTCCTTACACGAAGTGATATCTGTTATGGCAGTCTTTTCTTTTGTGTATTTAGAGCAATGAGAGATTGCACTTAGTCAGTACTGATTGTCCCCATTTTACGGGAAACAGGGTGACAATAGAGTTGCCACCTAGCCAATATTGGGTCAGCTTGACCAGCAATTTCAAATCAAGGCTGGTACTTGACAAAAATATTTAAGTATTGGCAAAACAGTTTAAAATATAAACAAAATTATATTTTAATTGAAAAAATATTATATAAAATTATTTTTAATATTTANGTCGGTGAGTTGGTTAATCCCTTATCTTCTCGTTTTGACCGTTCTTGGGTGATGGGTGAGGAAACCTTCGTCCTAACTAAACATAAGCCCCAAACAAAAATATAATAAAAGCAAAATAAAAGTAAAATAAAAATAAAGCTCGGACTTAGTTCCTTACAACATGCCGGACATTTCAAGTACAGTAATACCTTGACTTACGCAATTTTCAAATCTTGTAACTCCGTAAAGAGTTGCGTGGCACTCAAACAAAAGATGAATTGACGATTCGTCTTTTGTTTGAGTGCCACGCAACTCTTGATTACTCACTCTCCCACACTATTGTTTAGCTTACATGTTCGGACATGTCATACGGAATCGACACATAGCTACAATTTATTTTGTGTTATTTATTTCTGTGTTTGTTATATCTACGGAGACTTGAGAGACTCTATGTGGTGATTTCTTGTAACCGTAAACGAATCAAAAGATGAGATAAGATTAATGAGAACATTTATTAGCTTACATACATCCGACTTTGATTTTACACAAATTGCGAAATTATACCCCAACTTATGCGAATTTGACTTACATGGTTACCGCTCAGTCCCACCTATCACGCAAGTTCAGGGTATTACTGTACATCGGACCTCGGCCACACCTCTCAGCCAAAGTGTGAAATGGTCAGTCAGTTCTGGAACTGGATGAACTTTGAGCTTTGACTGTAACATATACAATTATAAATTTTGATGTAATATGTTGATTAACAGAAATAAAATTGAAGTTACCAACAGTTGTATGAATGAACTATTTTTATACCCAGCTGTTATAACAGATGGAAAGTATGGCAATCTGGAAAAAATTACCTTCAGATTTTTACATTTTTGGGCTTAGGACACCTTGAAATGTTGAGAAATGAAAAAAATCTTTGGGGGTAATTTCTGTATGAATGGGTGCTTGTGTATCTGTGTGTTTGAGGTACAATTTTGTTCACCTTGTTTGGAGCTTAATAATTCCTGTGCTTTTTATTAAAAATTTCTGAAATTTTGCATGGTTGTTTCTGTATTAGGGGATTGATGGTATTGAATTTTTGTGGTTAAAGGTTGAGGGGTGGGAAAATAATGGGGGTTGTGCGTATCTCCAGTAGGATCTGAATTTAGGATGATTTTACTTGTTATTAGCATTTATAATTTTTTATAAAACCGTTAAAATTAAGTTTTTTGCCATTATATAATGGCAAAAAACTTAATTTTGTTTTGTCGGAATTCCAAGGGGAATAGTTTCTAAGTTAGAATAAGACTTAAGTTTGTTGGGTTGATTGTGATTTGATTTCTTATTTAATAAATTTGTTGTTTGTTTCTAAAACTTGTACATAGTGTTTGTTAGACTTGATTAAACATTTATTATTGAGAGATTTTTTTGTGACTAACTTAAAAGTATAAAGTTTTTAAGTAATCAAACATCTTTACATTATAGTATTATAGTGGTTTCTAGCCCAATAATATATGGCTTTGTTAGATGGATAATGTTTTTAAATAAAATATGATAACAGATGGTGCCACCAAAATTTTAAATGTTGCCAGGAAAGTTGAGCAACTCATTGCTGATTTTTTAGCATGGGTGGTACTAATTAATGGGCTTATTAATACTAATTAAACTAATTAATTGACATCCAAAAATGCAAATTTTCTTTATGACAATAATTATTATTATTATTATTTTTCTTTGAAAATGTGACCATACTTTCAGATTGTTAAAATATATTTCAAAAGTAATATTTTTTATTTTATAATAAATCTATAAAAAAATATATGAAAAGTAAAGGATAATATTATTTATAAAATTATGATAAAAATTTCTATTTAGGTATTTAATCAAGACAGTTTAGAAAGTTTTTAAATGCAGTTTATTGATTTGCAGATTTTTTGTATGGGGAACAAGAGAATATTTTAATTTGAGCCAACGGCCAACATGAAATTTTACCCGTTAAGTAGTGTCAAAAATAGTTTTGAAATAAAAATGGATTTTTCTATTTTGATTATTTTAGAAGCTGTTGTGGTTTCAGTTTTTTGTAAAATAGAAACTGTGGTAGCACGTAATGTAAGTAACATGTCATGTAAGTAGGCAGCAATGTAACAAATGACTGAACTGATCGGAAACAAAAGTAAACATCATTTCAATTTCACTTTTAAAACACAAGATCCCTGCATTTTGACAAATTTTTTTCAATGTCTAAACATTGAGAAAAATTTGACAGGTAGAACAGGTAAAATAGGACAGGTAGAAGTCTGAAACTGTTACAAATGGCAAATACAGGCCTCGGAGTCACTCACTTTCCTCTCTTGTACTCACTTTTCTGAAGTATCCTCACTTTTCAGTACATTTTCTCACTTTTTTGGTCATTTTCACATGCTTAATTAAGATGTGGGACAAATCAAAAATAATTTTAAAGCCAAACTATCTGCCAAATTATCGGACTATCGGAATAGAATTTTCTGGAAGAAAATACGCAGCCCTGAGCAGGACTCAAAATTGCAACTGCCACTCAGTGTTGTTAGGTTGTAGGAAACAAAAATTTATTTCACGTATGTAAAAATATCCTTTATGAACTTAAAAAAATCCCTGTCATTACAAATTCAGAAGCCAGTGTTGAGTAAAGTTATGTACTCATGCCATATTTTCATTATTCACCAAAATCTACCTCTTCCGAATTACATTTCCTTGTATGGAGTTTAAAAATAAGTATTCTAAGCATCCCTGCGTTTTTGGCTGTTTTCTATGAAAATCCCTCTGTAGGGAAAAAAACACTAGGCAGAGGGATTACCCTCTCAAGCTGACAACACTGCTGCTGCTTTTAAATTCAAAATATATAATTATTAAAATTAACACAAGATAATAGTGTAACCTCCTACCACTAGACAAATTATTTCGTTTCTGACCATTTAGTTATCCTTGTTACAGCCCAATAATTTGGCAGATTATTTGATTTTAATTAACAATCGGGTTATGGAGTTGTTTACAAAAATATTTTTTTACTTGATTTATCTTTAAATAATTTCATAAACTTGAGTTAAATAATGATTTCATAGCATATTGTTAACGTTAAATCACATCTATATCTTCCTAAATGTATGTTTAAATTGATTATAAGTATAATTATTCCATGTAGTAAGTATTATTTTCATAAAATGTGTGATTACTTGTGAAATATCCATTTTTTAATCTTTTTTCTTATGCTGATTATAATTGTGCATTAATTGAGAGACTGAAAAAGTAAACGAAAATGTAAATTCATATTTATATATAAAATTTACCAAATAAATTAAAAGATTCGAAGTGTTGTAAAAAGTACAGCACCTGATTGCTTGTGAGAAAAATTTTCACAAGATGGAAAGCTTGTGAAAATTTTTCTCACAAGGTTAATAACGTTGTAACGATGTCATTTTTATTCATCTGCAGGAAAAAGTTCCTTGTTATTTATGAAATCATTAATAAAATATTTTACTTATATTATTTGAAATATATTTATTTCAGATTTATTATTTTATTTTGAAATCAATATTTACACATCTCAAAGCATTAAAAAATAAACAGTTTCTGATAATGATAAATATTCCAGTATAGCCAAAATAGTGAAATCAGCATTCCCATGAGAGAGAGGGTCAATTTCACTCTGGGCACTTTCTCCATCAGTGTTGGAAAAAATACTTAATTCACTTTTGATTGTTAAGGAGGGACTAAACATGTATGACCAAAGCCCCACCTTGTACCCATTACAAAGGACTACTGAAATTAGCTCCCTCAGCGCATAGAAATTATCAAGAATAATTGGAAAATGAAAAGAAGTTAAAAGAATAAGAGAAACAGAAAAAAAGAGCACAGAAACATTTTGAAGAACAACAAAAGAAAACTGTTCGTAACATGAAGATTATAGAACTGCAGCTGAGTTTAAACCAGAAAAATGTAGAAGAAAAAGAAATACATGCGACAGGCCAAGTTTTGTTAGAAACAACAAACAAAAAAAAACTGGAGAAGGCTATTAACAGCAAGAACGTGAATGAAGTACGAGCAGCAGCACGTGTGATGCTTATTAGTGTTAAATGTTCAAAAGCAAGAGGAAGCGAAAAAGAAGGAATCTGAAAACATCCAGAATAATCTT